TTAAGGAATTACAGCTCTTTAATATGAACCTCCCCCCTTTTTTAAGGGACCATTAGTAATTGGACAATTGACTCAAAAGCTGTTTCATGGACAGATGTGGGCTATTTATTCCTTTATTATTTCTACATCAATTAAGCAGGTAAAAGGTCTGGAGTTGATTCTAAGTGTGCCATTTGCATTTGGAAGCTGTTGCTGTGAACCACATCATGCAGTCACAGATCTCTCCATACAAGTGAAACAGATGATTGTTAGGCTTCAAAAACAAATCAAATCCATCAGAGAGATAGCAGGAACATTAGGAGTGGCCAAATCAACAGTTTGGTACATTCTGAGAAAAAAAAGACCTCACTGGTGAGTTTAGAAACATAAAAAGACCTGGACGTCCATGTTGGACAACAGTGCTGATGATCGGAGAATCCTCTCCATGGTAAAGAAAAAACCCTTTCACAACATCCAGCCAAGAGAAGAGCACTCTCCAGGGGGCAGACGTGTCTCTGTCAAAGTCTACAATCAAGAGAAGACTTCACCAGAGCAAATACAGGGGCTTCACCACAAGCTGCAAACAAGCCCAGATTAGACTTTGCCAAAAACATCTAAAAAAAGCCAGAGCACTTCTGGAAAAGCATTCTTTGGATGGCTGAAATTAAGCAAAGTTGATTGGGCAGCGCTTCATAGTACAAATGATGACCCAAAACATACAGCAAAAGCAACCCAGGAGTTTTTGAAGGTAAAAAGTGGAATATTCTGCAATGGCCGAGTCAATCTCCTGATCTCAACCCGACTGAGCAGCATTTCACTCGCTGAAGATAAAACTAAAGGCAGAAAGAGCCACAAACAGACAACAACTGAAGTCAGCTGCAGTAAAGGCCTGGCAAAGCATCACAAAGGAGAAACCCAGTCTCTGCTGATGTCCATGAGCTCCAGACTTAAGGCAGTCATCACCTGCAAAGGATTCTCAACAAAATATAATTTTTTTTATTTATGATTACATTTATTTGTCCAATTACATTTGAGCCCCTGAAAATGGGGGGGCTGTGTATAAAAATGGATGCAATTCCTATACATTTTATGTTATATTTTTGTTCAACCCCTTGAGTTAAAGCTTAAAGTCTGCACTTCAATTTCATCTTGATTGTTTCATTTTAATTCTATTCTGGTGGCATACAGAGCCAAAATTATGAAAATTGTGTCAGTGTCCAAATATATATGGACCTGTCTGTATTTTTACTCAACCTGTTAATCAGGTTTTCATTTTTTAATTGTATGTTTGAATAAATCTGTTTTTAGTAGTTTTTATTACATGCACTATTTAAATGTTTATAGTTTAACAAAAAATTGGAGTAGAAACATAATTCTGTTATTAAAAGTTGACTTAAAGTTGCAATTAAAATGTTTTTACTTGAGTGTTGATTATTATATTGAAAAAAAAAAACAATTTAATAGTTTGGACTCTGTTGTTAATTTTAACCATTAATATTATATTAATGTATCGACTGACAGCTTTTTATTTTTAGCATAACTGAAATACTACTTTAATTCAACTCTTTTAATATTTAAAATGATTTTTTAATTTTATTTTTTATATTTTTAGTTAAAGTTTTTTTTTCAATTATTATTTGTTTTTTTAGACATCTATACAGTTTTCATAATTTTTTATTTCAGTTTTAGTTATTTCAGTGCATCAAATTAAACTAAATGAAAATGTCGCCTTGGCAACTACCTGACGTTCAGGAGATTTTTTTATATTTTATTTTATTTCAGTTAAAGTTTATTTTATTTTAAGTAACAAAAATGTTGTTTTGTTTTTTAATGATTTTATTTAACTATAATAACCCTGAATGGTTGTTTTCTTTCAGAAAAATTTACATTTATTATACCCAATATATATCCAAATGAATCATTATGAAATCGTATCAGAATCAAATCAAATCAAGAGCTTGTGAATCAGAATCAAATTGTTTAGTGAAAATCTGTCAATACCCAGCCATCAAATAATACTAAAGGAAAACATGAAAATATCAGAGTAAAGCTGAAGTAAACAGTAGGATCACTGGAGAGGATGAGGAAGGAAGGGGAGATGAATCTGCTCTTACTGAAGACTAAACCAAGTCCTGGAGGTTCCTTACCATTACCAACCTTTAAATAACCAGTGTACAGTGTCCAATCAGCTTTAAGATCAAAAGCCCTCCAGGACCTGAAGGAGACATGCTTCTACACCATCAGATTTACTCTTAAGATGTGCTTAGTAGGAGCAGGAGTCTCATTGCCTCTGGTGTTACAAATCACAGGACGAGAGCGAAGGAGGAACTACTTAAAGACATCTTACTTCTGAGTGTGTTTGTGGACACGCTGAGAGCGCAGACTGTCCCTCCTCATGACAGCGTCTCACTGAAGAGCACCACACGCTGGAGCAGAGCCACACTGCACAATTACACTATTACCCTCATCACACACACACACACACTCTCACTATCACTCACACACACACACACACACACACTCTCACTCACTCACACACTCACTCTCACTCACTCACACACTCACTCTCACTAACACACTAGACATGTGCCGGTATTCGGTAATGCAATATATCACGGTAATGAATATGCACGATATTGTTATCGTGGGCACTTCTAAATACCGTGAATAATTATATATTACAAATTATTCAGAATTTTGAATGCATTTTAAGAATACTTTTCCAATAAACTGGTCACAATGCACAACACCGCTGTATGCTGCGTGAAAGACGCGTGCACACTCTG